AGTGTTGATGGAGAAAAATCCAAACCAAAAAAGAAGTAGGATGAGTTGATAGGCTTCAGTGCGCAAAGATCAAGGGTAAAAAGGAGTGGACAGTTATGCTTACAGAATTAAATATTCCATTATTTGGGAAAATCACATGAAGAGAGGGTTTACCTTAGGAATAAATAAATGCCAACTACTAAGCCCACTTTTAAAAACTTTTATATTGAAATATGGTATAGTTTACATACAGTAAAATGCACAGATTTTAATTGTACAGCTTGATAATCTTTTAGACATACACACATCCTTTTAACAAACACGCAAGTCAATAGAGAGAGTATTTGCAACATCCCAGAAGGCTGTCTTCCACCCCTTCCACTCAGTAAACCTCAGTGGAAACCCATTATGCTGGTATCTGTCAAGGCAGGCTTTTCTTATTCTTTTTTCTATTCTTATATATTAATTTGTTTTTCCTATTGTTTCACATAAATGGAATCATACAGTTTTTAGTCTTTTGTATCTGACTTCTTTCACTCAACAGTAAGTCTGTGGTATTTATCTACATTTGGGTGTGTATAGCCGTAGTTCATTTTTCCTACTGCTCTGTTATATAAGTATATCACAATTTATTTATCAATCTTATTATTGGTAGACACTTGGGTTGTTTCCAGTTATGACTAAACTGCTTTGAGCATGCCTTTTAGAGGACATAGGCTTTCATTTCTGGTTTATGCAGTGTTTGTATGCTTGGTATTCATAGGTAATATCAATGAGGATTTATTTCCCCTCCACTGGGCCCATTTTGAGAAAGGGAAACAAGGTAATGCTGGAAAGTCCTTGGTCCTGCCAGCTTTTCATAAATGCTTGGGAAGATGCTCAGTTAAACTTAACATAAAGAAAATCTCAGAAAACTATAATCTGACTGCATTAAGGACTACTTTGGAAAGAGAATTTTTTTCATTTTGCAGGGCATTCTCTTAGTTGGACTAACTGTGAATTTTGTGACTTAAAATATTAATCAACCAAAAATGTATGCCCAAACTGTCAAATGAGCCTGGGAATGAAACCACTTATAGGTCTCTCCATCAGCAATCAACATCATGATTCTCAGGGCACTTGCTTGGGACAGAGACCAAATTTGATTCATTCTAGTTCACTAGCTGGGAATTAAGAAGATGTTCTGAGAAATGCAGACCGGGGGGAAAAAAAAAAAAAAACCCTAAATATCAGTTAAGTGGGAGTTCAGAAACTTCCTGTGAAAAAATGGCTAAAAGAGTTGACATTATTTAGTCAAGATGTGAGAAAGTGAAGAAAAGATGACTTGATTCTGCCCTTTAAATGGGAAGATTTTAGAAGAGGATTTGGATTGGTTTTCCTGCCTAGAGAAGACCATCTTATAAGCATTAGGCACTGCTCTGCTTTTGTTCAGAGTACTTATACCACTAGAAGAAGGTACCAAATGGTATTAAGAAGGATTCTTAGCCATTGGTTAGAGAGGAAATTATGTACTCCTTTTGCTAGGAATTGTCTAGAGACAGTAACTCTCTGCCTGTAGTAATTAGAACATTTTAGGGGAATACAGATAGTTGGGACAGATAACTTTGGGAATCTTTTAATCTCAGATATTATATATATTATGATTGAGGGACTTATAGCCAAAGAAAAGTGTCAGTATAATAGAAAAAGCTCAGCCCCTTTGGTAACTTGTAAGACAGTTTCACTTTAGAGAGGCCAATTTGGGCATTCAGTGTTTTGCTCTTTCCTCTTCTAGCATCTTAAAAGATGCTAGAAGACATAACCATCTTCATGTAGATGTCATCATGCCGCCCAACTGACTATGGTATGGTACATTATCTGATGAGAAACTATATATTTTACTTTGTAGATGATTTCCTTGCTATTACTTCTCTTGAGAAGTATCTTCCTAGTGTATCACGGGCAGTTGCCTTGTCATTGCTCCCTGGAGACCTTCTTTATCGGACTGACAGCCCCCTGTGCTTGTAATTTCCAATTCAGAGGGGAATTGGAATCAAGAGGAAATGTTACATGTTTTCAGTTCAGCCTTGATCCAGATAGCACCTTTGTGAGGAACTTGTCAGGATTCATTTAATTTATCCTTGTAAAGTTCTTAGAACTGCCTGGCACAGAATAAACATTCAGTGAGGGGTATTCTTACTGTTCTTTCTCTGTTTCATGTTTGGCTTCTCTGTACATGTGTATTACTAGTGCTCAGTTCTAGGAAATAAGGGGGAGTGAAGTAGGCCAGTTGGTTGGACCTAAGGAGAAGAAGAAATGCAATCATGCAGAAAGATTATAGTAACTTCAAAGTATAGTTTTGGAAAATCTCTTTAAATCTAACCAATTCACAATGGAAAGTCCCTGAAGAACCAATCTAATTATTCAATTAAATGGAACCGTTATGCTGACTTTTACTACAGAAGGCAAGCATAATTTAGAAAATGGGGCATTTTAATTCTCTTTTGTTTTCCAATTAGCACAATTGCTCTAATGGGGAGTACTCATGCTTGAGTCCAGTATGTACTTTGCACATAATTTCAGTCTCTCTCTCATCAAAAACTGGAATCCTCACCTGTTGACACAGAGGTTTATTTATTACGATGCTCATACTGTCCAGATCATGGCCTCAGAGCAAATATCCTTCTGCCGTGAAAGCTGACCTGACCAGCACCAGTTCCTCCCGCCACTCCCACCACCTCCCCGGAACTCTGCTTTCCCTGCTGGGTATAATTAGGATGCTGAAGTAACAGAGCTCTCACTTTTTTTTGCTGATGCCAGCTTACCACAACAGACCACATGAGTTTACTCTTAGTTGAAAGTGGTAAGCAAAATGCTAAGAACATTCATTTTAATTGGTCAACATTATACAGACTTTAGTGCCACTGTTTTATAGTCCTGTGCTTAGGATTTCTTTCTGCCACTAGCCATCAGCTTATTATAGCGGATACTCTTATTTGCTTCTGATTATCCTTTTTACTGTTATTTGATTTTTGATTATTTCTTGAAAAGTTTAAACCTCTTTTGTTTATTGCTACCTTATTTAGATAACAGTTTCATCTGCCCTGATACTTATTAAGTTCTACATAAAAGACTGACATTTTCACATTGGTGGGAAAGTATCTTTTCATCATATGTCCCTCAAGACAAGGATGAATGGCAGAGATTTTTTCTTTCTTAAATGCTTGCTTTGATGCTGATGTTTCGTAGCTAAAACACATGAATCATATGGGTAGTGTGTGGTGGTGGTAGAAAGGTGGCAGGGATGGTGGTACGAATGATCCTCAAATGTAACTAAACGTGTTTTCTTTGAATTGGTTGGATTTCTTCCTCCTGAACTCTGGAAAATGTTTAATTTGTTATTATGCGAAAAAGATCCATAACATATGAGAGAATAGTAAAAGGAGAATTGTGTTTTTTAAAAAGTGAACTCACTCTTCTTAAAAGTTTTGGGGGGATTTAGGAAATTAGGCACTGACGTAAGTATAAGGTAATGTGGTCTTTTGCCTTTGGCGCCAACATGACACATTGTAAGCAGGTAGAGCACAGTAGCCTTGTAATTCTGTCATACAGCTGAAGCTGTAAGGTGTGGGCAATGGCCACAGTTCCTCATCAGGACTTCATGCCCCATCTCCCCCGTTACCAAGTCCTTCTCACATAGGCCTGTGGGGATTGCCGGGGCTGAGTTCCTTTGACAATTTCCCCTGAATCGCTTTCTTTCATCAAACTGAAGAAGTTAATACAATTAATATTAGAATGGGAAATTATTTCATGCAGAGAGATTTTGTTTAAGTAATTATGAAGATCAAGAGTAAGTTCACCTAAGATTTTGCTTTCATTTAAATGAGTGGGGAATAGGTAGAATAGGTAGAAATGAAAGAAAAATTATTTAAATTACAGCTAGAAAGTTTTAACGTTAGGAGAAAAAAACACAGAAATTAGAAAGTATATGCAAAACAGAGGATTAATTAATTTATAGTGATATTGAGAAAGTCCATCTATGTAAGTATAAAATAGTCATTTAAATTCATAACTTAAGAAACAGTTATGTCTTTAAATTAGTTTGAACATTTTCACATTCTAAAAAAGTACATTTAAAATCAAAAGGATCAAAATTAGAACCAAAAGAATCTAAAATAATTTCTAATTTTACAAAGGATTGATTTCCTGGCTTAAGTATCAATTATTCCTCTGTAATACTGTAAGAGTCACTATGAGACTGATAATAATTACTGTCATTTATTGGATATTTGCTCTAAGCCAGAGATGAGGCAAACTGTGACTCATGGGCCAAATCTAGTCTTACTGGAGCACAGCCATGTTCATTTGCTTATGCAATAGAATAGAATTGGGTAGTTGTGGCAGAGATTGACCCTCCAAAGCCTCAAATATTTACTGTCTTGCCCTTTCCTGAAGAAGTTTGCCAATCCCTAATTTAAGACAAGCAATGTTCTTTTTAATAATTATGTCATTTAATCCTTACAACATCCCCAGCAGGTTAGTTTCTTATCCTACTTAGATAGATGATGAAATCGAGGCTTAAAGATATTAAGTGACTTGCCCAGGGATACTCAGCTAAGTAGAAGAATATGAACTTGAAGCCATTATGGTAGAGTCCATACTTTCCCCTTTGCGTCCAGTTTCTTTGCTGTTAGCCTTCTGAGAGGTGGCATAGCTTGGTGGTTAAAGATATAGAAAGACTCTGAAGCCGGGTTGCTTAAATCAAGATGACCTTGGGCAACAAATGACTTGACTTTTTGTCTCAGTATATAAGTATTGGCAAATACTACTAATTGTTGGCAAATACTATTATAACTCCTGTTTTGTAGGTGAAATACTAAATCTCCAGAAATGCTTTTAAGCCTCCCAAAGACCTGACTTTACAAATGACTATAGCTTACCTCCAGTGCTAGATAGGTAACGCATATTTCAGACGGCCAATGGCTTTGGAAAGACAAAATCATGAGTCCAATGTTCATTTTTTTTTCTCTTTTAATTATCAGGTCCTTCATAGACAGCAGTCTCAGCCAGCCAAGGAGAGTTCCCCTCCCAGAGAAGAAGCGCCTCCCCCACCTCCTCCGACTGAAGACAGTTGTGCCAAAAAGCCCCGGTCTCGCACAAAGATCTCCTTAGAAGCCCTGGGGATCCTCCAAAGCTTTATTCATGATGTAGGCCTGTACCCTGACCAGGAAGCCATCCACACTCTTTCGGCCCAGTTGGATCTCCCCAAACACACCATCATCAAGTTCTTCCAGAATCAGCGGTACCACGTGAAGCACCACGGGAAGCTGAAGGAGCACCTGGGCTCCGCGGTGGACGTGGCCGAGTATAAGGACGAGGAGCTGCTGACCGAGTCAGAGGAGAATGACAGCGAGGAAGGCTCCGAGGAGATGTACAAAGTGGAGACCGAGGAGGAAAATGCTGACAAAAGCAAGGCAGCACCTGCCGAAATTGACCAGAGATAATGTGAACTCCTACTAGGCAAAGCAATACGTCGGTCCAAGGATTTTCTGCTTTTGTTTCTTTAAAAGTTTTTTTGTTTGGTTTGTTTTTTTTTTACTTTTTCTTCTTTTTTTTTTTTTTTTCTTTTTTGCTTTATTTTTGTCTTTTTATGTCTATTTGTTTTGTTTTTCTTACCCTTTTGGACATTTCTTTGTTGCACAGGATACACCTATAGACTGAATAAGTTCAGTATTTCCGAATCAGACATCGCCTTGGCAAAGACATTAAAGCGTTACACTTTATCCCGTCTCTATGACTGGATCATAGTTATTATAATCACAGGAGACTCTGCCTTCATTATCCTTGCACTTAACAGAAGTTACATCAGGCAAGTTCCAGGATGAAAAGAACTACGAAATAGATGAAGGAAGCTACAAGTGTGTGTGTATATGTATATGTATATATCTCTATATTTACATATATATATTAAAATTGCATGGGACAGAGACTTTACAATCCGAAAGAATAGACTGTGAAATGAGTTCTTAAAGAAAAGACTTGTTTATGTATTAAAAAAAAAAACCACTTCACAGTGAGTCGCTTTGGCTTTTTGATAAACTGCGGCCTGCTCTCAGGGTGGGGTGACTATTTTTGAATTCCTATTTATTTTTTGTGTTTGTCCCTGATTTTTTTAAATTCTATGGCTTCCTATCTGGCAGCTTAATGGGTAATTTTTGAGGTATGTATTTAACAAAATAAACCAACACTGCCAAAAAAAAAAAAAAAAAAGAAATAGAAGAAAGTAGAGTGAAAAAAATCAGGGCACATTAAAATGATACAAGTCAAATTATTTTTAAAGACACAATGCACACTTAAAATGACTCAATAAAATGACTCGCTATGTTCCGTTATTCAATTTGTCATTACTGTAGTGAACAGATGTATTTCTGTGGAATTTCAAATAATTAAAACTGAAATTCAGTGCAGAGAAAACTCTGTCCATTAGTGCAAGTCTTGATCAAGTGACATTTTGACATTGGACATATGGAATTCATAGTATGAGCCACATTTTGTTGTGAAATTTATTTACCTTGTGGCTTCAAATTTGAAAATTAATAAGCCTGCTCATTTAAAAGTTGTTTGCTGTTGCTGTTTTTTTTTTTTTTGTCTTTTTTGTTTTTTTTTAAATAGAAAATAGTTCAGTGTAATATTAAGTTAGAAAAGAAGTTGCTGCCCAGTTAAAGGGGCTCCCTCTCAAATCTCTATCCTTCACCCTCCCAAAAGACATTTCTTACTTCTGTTTCACTTTGTGCTTCCTCTTCTTCACACACATTCCATCTACGTAATCAAACATTTTCAGTTCCTAATCTCTCCTGTCCCTTTTCCTGGGATGACAGCCCTAACAAGAACTGTTTTTGAATCGTTGTGCAGCTCTGGGCAATAGATTATGTGAAGTGATTTCAGTAGAATTACCTACTCATCCTAAAAGAAAACATTATCCCAGTTACCTACATGGCAATTACCTTATGTAAAGCAAAACTAATGCTGACTGGATGTTTAAAGGGATGAGCATTAAAGCTGCAATCTACTATAGTACTCCAGATCTCTTTCAGCTTCCTATGAGAAACACCAGAAGCATTACTTTCCACTTCTACTTACAGTAATTGCAAGAGGAGACCTCACCTTCAGGACTGGCCTAGTGAACGTAATCCATGCTTTAAACTGGCCATTAAACAGTCCCACGTGGTTGGATTTCTTTTTTCTTTTTTGAGTTGTACTCTCACGAAACCTTGTCAAAGACCTCATGCAATATCACTTTGAAAGTTATTTTCTGTTTACTACACAAACATTGTAATATAACTGTTAATACTATTTATATATTTGAAAGGTATAAAAGGTAGGAGTTAAAAAAAACCTCTATGTGTAGATATTAACTCAGAACTTACAATATACAGGGAGAAGACATGTTGCAATACAAGCTAATTCTAGCTGCTCAGTAACCTCTGGAGTTTTTAAAGGGACATTTTCCTGTACTTTTTCAAATAATGATGTTTAAAAATTATCTTGACACGAGCGTCATATACCTTTGCAAAAGGATGGTTGTTTGCAGTTAGCCCTGGGCCCATCCTTCCTATTTCTGTAGTATGCTGCAGCTTTAATCAGAAAGTCCATGGTTGCTGCTTCCTGATCTCCGAGTTACTCTTTCCAAATTGTCTTCTTACACTGTTGCTGAAAGTCACTCTGTACACGTAATGGAAACTGATTTTGCCAAGCTCTTACAAGGTGGTTCATCTATCGATGGCATCCGCATTTGGTATCTTTTACACTTCAACCAAAAATTTATTAGGTATTTTTCAATGCTAAGTCTTGCCTTTTATTTTTTAATTTCACTGCCAAGTTTGCAGTGGTTCTAAGTGAATCTGTGGGCATTTTAGCCTGTGGTCTTGCCAGATCTTTGCGAATTACAATGCATATATGTCTATTTATTCAATATCTGTCATATAATATCTATTTGGAAGAAGAAACTTTCTCTTGTAGTGCCTCTTGACAAAGCACAATTTCCCGCCTTTTTTTTTTGTGAAATGAAAAAAACAAATTGTGTTTTATTGCGGTATCAACAATGTGAATAAGGATTAACATATTGTAAATGTTCTTTTTTCCATGTAAATCAACTATCTTTGTTATCACTAAGTGATAATTAATTTTTAACTTATGTGCATTGTTAGGCTGTTAGAATTTTTTGGTTGTTAAAATAAACGCATTCAATAAATATGACTTTGTTTGTCAAGTATTTTACTGGGCTTTACTTGCTTCCCCATTTAATTTTTCATGCAGAGAGAGACCTGGTGAGTCTTAGGAAAATTTGTATCCTTATTTTAGAAACAAGACAGTGGTACCCACAATTACAGATGTATGGGTCCTGTACAATGCATGGATTTAATTGCACATGTGAATATATGTGTGTTTCTGTGTTTATATAAATACATGCATGCTCACTTCCTGGAGCTGCAACAGGGACAGTCATTTATCCAATCTTTTGTCATATACAAACAAAACTCAAGTGTGTGAAGATATATTTTTAGGCTGCTGCTTTATTTTTCTAGTGAATATTTTCTGTTTATAATTAAAAAACCACAAATGACTGCGTGTCAGGAAACTTTTGGAGCACATATGTCCACAGTTAATGGACATAATAAAAGTTTTTTATATTTAGAGCTAGGGTGCCATAATGTGTGCATGGAGGAATGCCGAAAGAATTGATGTATCTGAGAAATGTGTGAAAATGATTTTATAGAAAGTGCTTACAATGGAAAAAATTGCTCAAAAGACTAATGTTAGTAAGGAAAGAGCAAGTGCTTCACTTCAGAATTGACAAAGAGAAAGTAAATTAAAAAGTGATTTTGTTTTGATACTGTAAATGTTTTTTGTTTTGTTTTGTTTTTTTTCATTTTCCTGCATTTGATTGACATACCGATGTAGCTTCTATTTCTTCCTCGGTTTCCCTTATCTTTTTTTCTATGACAGTTAATAGCCCATGGACCATGCAGATATGTTTTAAGGACAATTTGTGAAAACCAAGTGTTTGCAGACAGCTTCAGGGTGCTGAAGGTTTTTAAAAACAACTAGAGGCTCAACACAGGGTGAAACGTTATTTATGCAAATGTAAATGAACTCTGCATTTAGACTAAAGAAAAGAAAAGCATTTGTGAAATAATGACTTTTAGCACAAGGAGCTTGCACATTCATGAGATTGTGTTTTTAGGAGTCAAACTTCATCAGTGGGAGGCTCTACACACAGATGAATTGGGTTCTGCCTAGGTGTCTCTATGCTGGTGACTTCCATTTTCAAGAAAGCAAACTAGGAATTTCTCAAGTAAACAAAGTGATGTTATAGCAAATCTCAGAGCCATCACTTCGCAGGTTTGTTGCTGTGTGTGTGTGTGTCTAGAGGACATATGTTTCTTTACACTGTTACTTTCCTTTCTGAAGAGTCTTAAAAAAAGACTTTAAATTCTTCACATTCTTTCTAAAGGACAATCATGCTGTAATCAGATAGTAAACATTTATTAAGCATGTACTCTATACCAAACAATTTGCTAGAAATTGCGGCGACAAAGAAGAATGTATGACTTAGTGCTTTCTCCTCCTTAGTGCTTTATGTTGTGTTGGAAAGGCACAACATAAATCCAGGAAAAATGAAATAGTCACACAAAAGTTGTCTTCAGACAGAAATGTATTTGTTTAATGGGTGGTATAAACACATACTATGAATTAAGTAATTATTGCTTGTAAGAATGATCTTGGAAGGTGGATCATTTATTATTAGGATTAGCTGTGTACAATAGAAAAAAAAAAAAGCACAAAGTAATAATGACCCAACAAGTGTTTCTTACATGAAAGAAATTGCTGAAATAAGCTGGCTTCATGAAGTCAGAGACTCACGCTTTTTCCAGCTCACAGCTCCATTATTTTCCTGGGTTCCCTCTTCATGGTCCAGGATGATCACCAGAACTCTCGCTCTCACACCTAACTTCCAGGCACCAGGAGGGAAAAAGAAGTGAAGAATGACACACAATCTTCCCTTGGTACTGTAGGGGATTGGTTTCAGGACACCCCCCCCCCACACACACACATACCCAACCCATGGATACCAAAATCTACTAGTGCTCAAGTGCCTTATGTAAAATGGCATAGTTTTGCATATAACCTTTGGGTATCCTCCCTTATACTTTAAATCATCTTTTACTATTTAAAATATCTAATACAATCAGTATACATAGTATATTATGTATGTTAGTATATATGGTAATACAATCAGTATAACATAAGTGCTATGTTAATAGTTGTATCGTTTAGGGAAGAATGACAAGGAAAAAAAGTCTGTACATGTTCAGTATAGACACAACCATTCATTTTTAAAAACAAATATTTTTGATTTGCCATTGGTTGAATCCACAGTTAGAAAAGAGCGACTATGCTCTCTTTCTTCAAGTCCTATACCTGAATGCAAGGGAGACTAGTAAATGTTTCTAGCTGTTCCATGAATTTCAGAGAAAGGGGGAGAATGGATAATTGCTAGGCAGCCAACAACCTCTGTGTTAGAAGATATTAGAAGAATGTTGGTAATAATAGATAAGAAAGTGATAAGTGAAGAGGCACATTTGCCCTGCTGTTACTTCCTGCACCTTACATCTCTTCCTTCTCCTCATCCTGAGGTCAAGTTTATTCCTGGCTAACTTTAACGATCAGCCCAAGCAGCAGTTCTTCCAGGAAGCCCTTCCCGATCTGCCTTGCCAGTGTCATACAAATTCTTCCATGCTCATGCCGCTCCCAGGGTATTCCACTGTGCAGAGTTTGTAGCATGTTGTGGTTACTGTGCTAAATGTTTATTTCCCATGAGCCCTTGTGACCTACAGCTGAATCCCAGACATGGAGTTCCTCAGTACCTAGAACAGTGCACTCAAAAATGTTGATTGAATGATTGTTTATTAAATATGTGGAAAAAACAATGCATTCAAAGATAAAGAGTCAGAGAATAAGGCACACTATAGGACAGCGAGCAGAGGAGCAGGAGAAAGGAACCCGACACTGGCAGAGCTCTCCCCTCACAGCCACTCCTTACAAATACTCTTATTTTCAGTTAACAGTGAGAAAGGAAGCTCTGCCTAACTCAAGGTCTCAAAGTGAGTTTATTGCTCTTTTTCATATATGCCTAAACAATTATTCAAGACACATACTTTTGGGTTCGTGTAGTCTTTTATGATTTCTAGATCTTTCCAAATCATAAAAATTGGGAAATTGATAAAAGGATACAGGATAACCAATATTGGCAAAAGTTAAGGATGTTCATTGAGATTTTTTCCAAACTGTAATATTCTTAATATGCTTATAAAATAAAGTAGAAAAAGCCAAACCTGTTCCTAAAATGATCTACTTTAAGACCATTATAACTCACAGGTAACTGTTATTTCCTCTTCCAAATTCATGGCATTTGTCTGTACCACTCATTAAAACTAATAGAACAGTGTTTGAAGACAGCCTTCACGAGGTTACTTCCCATCTCCTGGGTTTATGTTACAGACTTTGGTGACTGAACATGGCAGATGATATTCATAAAGAAAGGCCCGAAACTTTGAAGGGAATAAGGGTTTCAGAATATTTGAGTACTGATGGTGGCTCATTTCCTGGTTGTGTAATGTTGGGCTAATTATGTTGTTTAGCCTAATGTTCCTCATCTAAAAATCGGACATGGTGACTCTTACAGGGTTATGGAGAATCCAGTGGTATAAGATGCTTTGAGACTGGTAACCTTTATGAAAATATTACATTTGCCTTCAGAAATTGCTAAGTATTGATCTAACTTTGATTAATTTTATTTATTAACTTTCAGGGATCAGGATGAAATAAAGCAACATTTAAGCTTTTATATAGCTATTATAGACATATTTAATTAAGGCTTGTGGTATGACCATAGGAATGCCATGATCAGCTCAATCTTTTTAGCAAATATACTTATTGAGCACCATTAGTGGCCTTGATTTTTAATACAGAATCAAAGAAGTTCTGAATACATTTAAATTGATTAGTTTATAAGATTTTTGTTTTCTATCACCCCAGAGGATGCTACTCCAAGGAACCTTGAAAGTGAAGCTAAACACATTAATTTGTGTCTGAAATCCTTACCACTTAAAAGTGAACATCTATGAATCGGGCACATTTTGCTTTACTTCTACCTTCCACTCATATTTTCAAAGTGAGTGGAGAAGCATAAATTCTAGGAGACTACATCAAAAGTGATTAAGAGAGATTTGGGCAATAGCTGAGCAGGCTTGGGGGTGGATGTGACTCTTTAAAGACAATAGCAAGGCCTGACTGAGGTCTTTGCATTTGGCCATGCAGAGAACAGGGGTGGGTGGTCAGGTGGAGGTGACACAGGGCTGTATGGGGATAGGCATGACAATGTGTCATCTGGATGATCGTGTCTAGGACTGGCATATTGAGTCAGAGACAGGAACAGTGAATGAAGGGTACGATGAAGGGAGGTGATTTGGCACCCTGCAAATTCAATATTGCTAGGAAATAATAGAGCCAGGTTCTAAAGCAAAGTCTGCATTTCTCCCCAGTATCACACACCTCTCTTTTTGTATCCTAGAATGTCCTAGAAAGAATGCATAAACTAAGAATCAGTTCTTTGACCAGCATGTTTTATATGACATAACCATTTGACATTTCTGAACACACTTTTTCATAATCTTGTTCAAGTATGACATTCCTGATTGAGTTTTGTTCTGAGGGAAAGCTTACTTTTAGAAAACACCATGATCTGCTACTATAATTGTCCCAGAAGAATGTAGAAGTAGTTTCTTTGGTGACATTTTAAAAGGCTTAAAGTGTTACCTTCACATGTGGAGAAATAATTACAAAAATATTCCATTAGCAATGTAATAAATTGTGCAGAGCAATGATTAATTAAAGAGATAACTATAATTTATTCACTATCCATTAATAAGCATGATCCCATTTAAACACAAAATAACACAGGCTGAGGGAATCAGGGGGGATTCAGTGTTAACTTTGGACTGAGCAGTCCTAGGAACCTACCCTTAAGGAACAGGTAAGGAAAAAAAAGTCTTTACAACTTTAATTCATCTCTAGTTGATTGTGTGGTGGCAATGAGTTGTTCCAGTTTCTATTTTTTACTAATATTGCATCTTGAAAAAGTTACTTCTCAATCCCTAGTTTCTTCATTCCTAAAATAGGCCCAGTAACAG